GAGAAGAATAGCTTGCGGAGCTTCTTCGTTCACTATTCGAATATTGGCCAATACAGAGCATTGACCACTAAGCGATGCTGAAGGTAGCAAACCTAGGAAGGAAGGTAAGATCTATCTGTAAGAAGAAGAGAATTGTTCCTTAAAGGTCCAGTAGTTGATTCAAGGTATAGGCGGTGAAGGTGGACTATCTCATACATAGCGGAAAGAACCGTTGCACCGGAACGAAAGAAAGTATTACTGAAAGAATCTTAGTCTTGTTTAGCGAAGGTTTATGACCACGATCTGGGCGATTTGTTAGGATCGCTCGCTAGTAAAATAAAGGAAGACTAGTTGAGGAGCGTCTCCGTTTATGCTATCTGAGTATTTACTATCACGTAGTATTTAACACTATGTGTATTGAAGGGAAGGGGAATGGTTTATCGGTAGGGAAAGGTGATTGATGCCTTAGAGGGCCAGAGAGGAATTCAGGGTATAGGCACCGAGAAGGAAGGATAATTGACACTTAGGACTTAAAGTGGTTAGGCTTGCACGGAGGAAGGCGGGCAAAAGAGAAAGGAGGGTCATTAATTTAGGCAAGTAAAGCGGAAGTATCTGCAAAAATTAGCTAATCCGGTAGGCTCTATCGTTCGATTCTAACCAATGACATTTAAAAAAAAAAAAAAAAAAAAAAAAAAGGGGAAAGAAGGAGGGAGAAGGGAAGGGGAGGCAGGGCGGGGAAAAACTCGATTATTTAAAGGAGACCTTTCCAATTTATTTCAGATGCATGCCTGCCGAAACGCTAGAAGTAGTAGGATTAGTAGTACGAGAGCATTAGTTCCGATAAGACTAGATGAGAGAGTCTTGCGAAATAGGGTGAGTCGAGTGCTCTGGGGCCTGAATCTTTCGGAGTCAGTGAGATGGCCGCCGATGGTTATGGAGGACTCTTTGGGCCGCCTCTTTGTCCTCGATAAGTCAGCAGGAACTCTCGTCCGAGCGGATGAGGCGAACCTACTTGAGAGTCTAGACTTGAACGCTATCAAAGTCTGCCGTGAGGTTTCTGACCGAGCCATTTACTTTCGTCAATTGGACACTTTGACGAGCTACCTTATTGGGAACGCCTTCTGCAATTTTCAAGCAACAATGGTAGGAGTCTCTTTCTGTGTCATCGACGTCGAGACTTGGAAGAAAGCATTCTCGAGATGGTCTCTGGCTGAGGCTTTTGCACTTTCTTCCTTCTCAATCGAACACTACAAACACCTGATGGATCTCTCTGATGAGGAATTCATGTGGTTACTGAATTGGTATAGGAGCGCCTGGGAAGTTAAGAAACTGGTCGCAAAGGCGACATTTTAGGCTTTCGGTTTTGCCCTAGCCGAATGTAATCGAGAGTCGATCGACTATTGGGCTCTGGAATTCTTAATTAAATCGTTAGTCGATTTAGGAGACGACATGGTTCAAATTTTTCGCGTTAAGAACTTCATCTTCGCAAAGATCAATAGTGCGCAAAGGGATGAGTTGGACGACCTCGAACTTTTTACCTAGCTCGGTTGTGGGGCGAGGGTTTGGATAGTTACCTTGATGGCTCGAGTGTCAGGGGTAAATCGCACTGGGCGCTTACCGGGAGAGGAAAGAGCGGCCTCGAGGACGGGTAAGAGGTAGGGTCGCTAGGCCGGATGCTCTCACGAGAATCCACCAGGCTTTCGTTGATTAGCCTGGACTGAAGGCGAAGTAGGAAGCATCACGTGATGCGCTGGGAGAGGCCTCACGATGGAGGAGAGAGGCGGTGGCGGACCCGCAATCGACTATGAAAAAACAATCGAGAGGAGGGTGGGGCTTCTCTTTTCTATTTTGCATCGTTATGAAGGCATCACACGACACTCGGGCGGTCTGATCCAGACTACTGGTCGTAGGTGAATGAGCAGGATAAGACAATGAAGGAACTTATCGCTGACATCATATCCTTCCACTGCTAGTTTGCGAAGATCTCAACCACGGGTCACTTGAACGAGCATGACTCACGCTGCACGTGAACTTTAAAGAAGGAATTATGTGGTTACGACTTGCGCTTGGACGCCATGCGCCGATGTTTGTCCTGCTAGGGTTTACCTCCTACGCAAAGTCGGATCGAAGTTCCATCGATCAATGTCTTCTAGATCGCGAAGGGATGAGGCAACGAAAGAACTCGTCACTGACAGCCTACCCACTACCGCAGAATTACGAAGATCTGAACCACGGTCTCTTAATCAAGCATGGTTCATGCCTCCTGTGAATTTTAGAGAAAGCATATTGTGGCTGCGTCTTACGCTCGGGCGCCATACGCCGATGTTTGTCCTAGTAGGATCTACCTCCAGCACAAAGCCGAATGAAAGTCTGTCGATCAATGTCTTGGATCTCGTTTTGTGTTTAGTACGCTGTCAATTATTTCAATTGTCGAACAAAGAATGAGGGATTGATTTTTGAATGTGTGTCGGACTCTTTGAAGCTTTTGAGAATGTCTGATTTGAATTAAGGCAGCACTCGGCTGTGATACTCCGACCGTCGTAAAAGTTGTTTGCTTCCATGTCTATAATACCAAATTCGGACGAATGCAAGAGGAGGTAAAATTAAGGGAAGGAGGGAAGAGGTGCATGAACATGGTTAATTAGAAAGGACAAAAGGGAGAAGGGAGAAGATGAACGCTTCTTTAATTAGGAAACTAAGCAATTAGTGAGAAGCTTTTCTTTGGGAAGTGATTTCAAGGATTTGCTATGAAACTTGTGTAGGGCAAAACTCTACTTCAAAGCTCAATCTATGAATTATGTGTTTCTCTGCCTTGCGCCTACGCCAGTCAATTCTTATTTAAAGGAAAATTTGGAATGATACCTTGCCGATCACTATGAAGAGAATATCAACTAGTCTCGATTTAGGAAAGGAAATGAGAAACATCTCAAGCCTGGGATCCGATGTCCAAGGATTTAACTAGATATCATGTGTGTGCTAACCGTAATCATTTACAATGCAAATTGGAACCTAGTTTAAAATTAAAAAAAAGGAAGAAAGAGGGAAAATTTGAAAGGATCATTCTGCAACTCCGTTGTACATTGCGCGAACCCGCAAGAAGAGAAAGGAGGTAGAAGAAGAAGAATAAACCAGGGTAGGTAGTGAAGGAAGGTTGATATTAAAACCGAACCTACCAACTTTAAACGATAAAGCGGTACTAAGGATAAGATATTTAGGAAGAAAGGAGTTGGATGACTTGATTGCCTGACTGTTACTATTAACTCTTTATCATTCTAAAGGAAATTAGCGGGATAATGAATCATTGTCTCATTGACGGGCAAAGGGGGAAATGGGACGAAGGGTTGAAGGTAAGGTGTACTAAAACTCAAGAGGACAAGAATTCCATACTCAAACAACGGAAGCCAAACCCAAACGAAGGGAACCTTGCCTTGCTCTGATCAATGCATCTCCAAAACTTTGACGCAGCGCCTGAAGCTGTGACTCTCGCCCGAAAGAACTCTATCGGCTTCGCTCTTCGTGTCAAGTTATGATATTTAAGGAACGTAGAGTGTATGGCCAAAAGAAAACTTCAAACAGAGAACTTCCAACCAGCATAATCACCTCTCACAATAAATGGCGCAGCAAGATCGATGTATTATTAATAGGTGGGACGAAAAGGGGGTGATTGAAAGAGAAAGAGAAAATCGTGCTGAACCCAAGCCCTGACTTAACGTATGTTAGAGCAAATCCTTCCGCTAGAATTAAGGCTTCAAATCCTTTAAGGATTGTCGCGACAAAAACTTCCATTATAAGACGCCTTTCGGACCCCTCCATTGGTCCAGGTCCCATTTCCTGATTCAATAAATTAAAATCACCTAGGCCTCCTCCTATTGGACCAACACCTTCAAGGGGGAAAGGTTTGTCCTTCCCAAAAAAGACAACTTGAAGGGTACTGATGTGCAGGTGAGAAACTTATCGAGGGTCCATGCCCTACGAAAGGAGGAGGGCCAACTCGGTTGAAACCGTGGTACGATTCCCACCAGGTGCTTGAGTAGGCTCGGGATTTGCTATTTGTAGCAAACTCCCGGGGTAACTCAGGGCACTTTCTATTTGCGCATGTCCAGGCGACGAAACGGCGGAAGCTCCGCGAGCAAACCTGCACAAGAAGAAAAGGCTGTGAGTTAGATTTCGAGATTCTTTTCATTTCACACGGCGTTACTGCCCGCATTTTTCAAGCGCTCCCACCCACCCCTATTTCCCACGGTGCTGGCCCTCCAGGCCACCTTTCGTAACAGGAATCTCCCCTTTAGGACCATAAAATAATCTTGTTTTGTTCGCAATCCTTTACAAATCTTGTTTGTCTTCATGAGATCCTCTGGTCAAATGAGGGCCTCGCCACACTACTCCCGACTTGGCCATTTTAGGGAGTGCAGCATGGCCACACCAGCTCCCGAGTTCAACCTGTCAGATTGAATTCGGGGGCTAGGTCCCACTTACACGAATTAAGCGATGTTGACCGTAGATAGCAAAGATCAACGGCCAGATTCTCGTAATCCGTGCAAGTGGGACCTTGCCCCGGGAGCTGTCAGAATGTGGCTCCCCAACTCACCGCCTGCAAAGCTGTTTTTTCGAGAGACCTCCTTAGCTCCTCCGAGTTTCATCCCAGATTCGGGAGTGGAGCCAGACCGGGCAAACGACTTCTGCCAGACTGCTCCACACTTATCGTGTCCATATGTTGCAAATGACATTTTCAGACTTCGAGCGTGGCCGGGTGGCGAAAGGCACTCCCAAGCGGGTTTTCACTTCCGGGAGCACTCCCGAAAAGTGTCCCAAGTGGGGAGTGGTGTGGCGAGGCCCTGAATCTCATATCTTTCAGGACTTAGGAACATCAACTTCGCAAGAAGGACACATAGAGGTTACCGAGGCTCAAAAGGCCACGAGTACCTTTTCAATGAGGGCAGGTAAATGCCCACTGAAGCAGCGTCGAACGCGAGTAGAAGGCCCGGCCAATGCGGCCGTGACTACTTTATCAATGAGGGCAGGTAAATACCCACTGAAGCAGCGCCGAACGCGAGTAGAAGGCCCGGAGGGGGGAAAATCTTCCCGGTCTATCAGCTTCTCAGTGTCCGCTTTTTCGGTTTTGTTTGTTTGCTTGTCCATGTAAGCAGATGAGCTTTGTCTGTTTGTTCCACATCATTGATTCGTTGACATCTCTGTAATTGTTGTGTACATCTCGTTCCCGTTTTTCTGTTCTGTTTTTTCTTTTTGTTCCCGTTTATGTATTTGAGTGCCCGCTGAGAGAATTGTGATCGTCATCGGCAAGATAGACACCCCATCCGAAACACTGCGTGGTGGTTGGTAGTGGTAGTGCTAATTATAGACATAGGTTACGTTGCAAGAAGTTCGCAGTCTTCTTCTCTTATTAGGTTGTGTATCCATTCCATTATGCATTGCTTTGGTGGATTCTCTTTTTGTTCTTGCTGCTCGGTTATTGCCGATTCCGAAGGGAGAAGAGAGTCGCTGCTTGATTCCTTCTTCGACGAGATTTTGGCGCGGTGTTTTTGATTCCGTTTGGTAGAACGACGTTATAACGAGCCCGACAGTTCATCGGCTTCGCTCAGCGTCTGTCACACACACACGCATCACTCTCACGGAGGGAAAAAAGAGGAGTACGGGCTGTTAAGGATCGGTGGTAGACAGGGGGGGGGGGGGGGGTGAAAATGGACAACGAGAAGAGTTGCGGGGTAGGGTCACAAAAGTGCGGGGAGAGTGTCGGGGGGGGCGGCGGCGGCTGGAGTGGTGGCGCCTCTGCAGCAGGCGATAGAGTGAAGTCGGATTTGAAGTTGCTCGGTAAAGTGTCTATGGTGGCTGCTGGCATTCAATTTGGCTGGGCGTTGCAGCTCTCTCTCCTAACGCCGTATATTCAAGAGCTCGGAATTCCTCATCAATACGCCTCCTTCATTTGGTTGTGCGGGCCGATTTCGGGGCTTTTAGTGCAACCGGTAGTGGGGGTATGGAGTGACGAGTGTGGGAGTCGATGGGGGCGTCGTCGGCCTTTCATAGCCGTCGGCGCGCTGCTGGTCGCTCTGTCTGTCCTCGTCATCGGGTACTCTGCGGATCTCGGTCATTTGTTTGGCGATAACCCTAGGCCGGGGGATCTCTCGCGCCCGCGCGCTTGCATCATCTTCGTGATTGGCTTTTGGCTCCTGGATTTGGCCAATAATACCGTTCAGGGACCTTCCCGCGCTTTGTTGGCGGATTTGGCGGGCAAAGATCCGCGCCGTGTTCGTGCGGGAAATGCCTTCTTCTCCGCCTGGATTGCCTTTGGGCAAATCCTTGGTTACTCAACCGGATCCTACGGCGGATGGTACAAAATTTTCCCTTTCACTAAGACTGAGGCTTGTGGAGAAGCGTGTGCTAACCTGAAGGCAGCCTTTGGTCTCGCCGTCGTCTTCTTGACGTTGTGTACCATCGTGACTATAGTATCTGCCAAGGAAATAGCGAGGACAAGGAGGCCAGCGGCGGCGACGGCGGAGGGGAAGAAATCCGCGGAGAAGGAAAGTGAAGCTAAGCGACAGAGCGGGAGTGACGGCAGAGGGCGGGAAACGCTGAATTCTGGTGGGAAAAACGGTGATGGCGCGAGTTTAACGACGCCCCTTTTGCAGGATTCCCGCCAGCAGCAGCAGGAAGAAGAAGATGCAAAAGAAGAAGAAGAAGAGAGTCGACGAAGAGAAGGAAGCGGCCATTGCTCGTCGGAAAACGACGGCGCGCAGCACGTCAATCTGGTGCTTCAAGTGGGAGGTCAAGAGAAGCCGGCAGCGGCGGCGGTTAAGTTGTCGGCAGAAGGCGGGAGAAAGGTCCACGTGGCTGAGGAAGAAGAAGAGAAATCGGATCTCTCTGTTGGCGACTTGTTTGTAATCGTTCGCCACTTGCCTTGTCAGATATGGTTCGTTCTGGCCGTGACGGCGCTGACGTGGCTGGCTTGGTTCCCTTTCTTGCTCTTTGACACCGACTGGATGGGCAGGGAGGTGTACTCTGGCAGTCCGACGGATGGCCATGTGGCTTCTTTGCTGTACGACATGGGGGTGCACATGGGCGCCGTTGGCTTGCTGCTGAACTCCGTAGTTCTCGGGCTCTTTTCCCTTGCCATTGAACCCCTTTGTCGCAAGTTCCTTTCCAGGCGCGTTTGGACCGCCGGCAACGTCCTTCTCTGCCTCTGCATGGGCGCCACGTATGTCGTTACGAGAGCGGCCAAAGAGCCCATCGCGCTTGATGAGAGCGGCAATCCCACGGGCCCGCAGATGTGGGTGAAAGTGACAGCTGTCGTTATCTTCGCGCTTTTGGGTATCCCGCTTGCGATCACTTTCAGTGTGCCTTACTCGATGATGGCGGTGCATACGACGTCGATGGGTGGAGGTCAGGGACTGGCCATGGGGGTATTGAATCTCGCGGTGGTCATCCCTCAAATGGTCGTCTCCTGCCTCTCGGGTCCATGGGATGAGTTCTTCGGCGGAGGGAACGAGCCGGCGTTCTTTGCAGCGGGGATCTTCGCGTTGGCGGGCGCCGTTGTCGGGGGGCTCGTCTTGCCCAACCCGCCACCATCGCCTGAACAGAAATCGCGCGGCAAAAAGAGGTCCAACTCTTTTCTCACCCTTTCCGTTGTGTGATGGGGCCAAGAGCAAGTAGAATGTTTGATTATGTAGGGAGTCGTTTTTCGCGCTTGCTGTCGGGTGTGTGGAGAAAAACTACACGGCGAGCAAGAGCATTTCTCAATGGTTATCTCCAACCGAAGTGGTATGACCGTATTACGAAATAACAGAAGCTGCCTCGGCTGCCTCGTCCTTGTTCCTTGTCTTCCATCACCCGTTCGCTGTCCACGACATATGTCGACGAGTCAGAGCCCGTCGATCTGAAGATGCGACTGACCGCTCTCTGAGCGATCGCATGTGTAATTGATTTGTAAGACTGGGTGCGTGAGAGGGGAAAGGTGTGTACGAGGGGGATTGGGATACAGACGCTGGGTGCATTTGTACGTGTAAGAGAGAGAGAGAGAGAGAGATAGAGATAGATAGACACAGAGAGAGAGAGAGAG